TATCTTGGAGCAAATAAATAAATAAAGCGAACTAAAATTAAAAGCGGCTATATACAATAAAGGCTTGTGGGCAGTAAGGTGAAAAAGAAATAGAGTTAGCATCAGAAATCTGGCAAAGAACATTGCTAGTAGACCAGAAATTTTCTTTTTCATCCTGTTTGGCACATAAAATTCCGCAGGAAACATCTTTCTTAATCAGGTTAACGACTTGATTAAAATTCAAGACAGAATTCCGAAAAGTTGCGAGATTTCTAGTCTGCCAAATTCCAAATAAAATTGTAGCGATTAAATAACAGTAGAGCGAGAAAGAAGGCGAAGAAGCACGAGACGAGAAAGGGAAGAAAATACAAGAAGAGTTAACAGAAAAAGGGGAAGTAGAAAGACGAGACAGATGAGGGGTAAAATAATTCCACACAGCACGCTCGCGAGGGCAAAAGAGAAAACAATGCTCAATTGTCTCAACTTGGGAACACAAAGCACACTTATCAGATTTAAGTTTGTATCCCCAAGTTTACAATACGTATCGAACTTTAATTGCGCGGTGAATAATGAGCCAATCAACTTAAGGCGAGACTTGCGCCAGACCGCGGCCCACCGGTTAATCGGCCTCTTGAGCAAAGCGGCACAGAAACCGGAGGAGCGCGGAGAGGCGCTCGGAAGATCTAAAAGAAGGTTATACAAATTTTTACAAGAAAAATCAGCTGGTAAAGAGCCGTGTTTACGCAAGGAAGATAACAGAAATAAACAATTACGATAAAAGGCAGACGGCTCGGAAGAAAAAGGAATTGAACAAGAAGAAAAATCAAAACTAGGATCAAGATTAGAAAAGCGATTTCCGAAAAAATAACGGGCTAAAAAGTGCCATTTGCATGTGCCGAATCCCTCCCGATACCCAGAGAGACTCGACAAACGCAAACTTGAACACTTAGTTTCAAAATCAACAATGTTCAGACGCCCACGCGCGATGGGGGCCACGCAACACGCTCGGCTCACAGTCTCAGATTTTGATTTCCAGATAAAAGGCCAAACGGCTCGCTTGTATTCAGCGGAAATTTATTTTGAGGGGGGGGGGTAGCACTTTGGCAACATGCCAAAATTTACTAGCCCCCATAACGTTTAAAATCATGCCTCTGCCTAAAAAAGAAAGATCCCTTTGCGACCACAGCCCTAAAGTTCTCTTTAACTTGTCTAATTTGCAATGCCGATTATCTTCATCAACATTTACTAGTCCGTTCGAAAAATAAACTCCTAAGATCTTTAGTTTATTAACCCATTGTAAACCAAAGGGGGAGGCGCCATTAGCTCTCCACCTATCAAGCCACATTGCCTTGGAGCACTCGGACTTGGAGGTATTGAGCTTGGCCCCAGACCTCCTCTCGTATTTATTCACGGTCTCTAGAAGGTGACAGAGAGATCTCTCGTTCTTTACGAAATTGGTGGCATCATCGACATACTGCGATATTTTAAATTGAAGGCCACCTGTTCCGGGAGCAGGAAGCCTTTGATCGCAGGGTTTTTACGGATCTGATTTGCTAAGACTTCAGAGGTTAAAACGTAGAGAAGGGAGGAGAGAGGACAACCCTGTTTAACCCCCCTCTCTAAGAAAACAGGAGTAGAGAGTTTACCGTTACAAATGATCCGTGAAAACACATTCGAATAAAAAATTGAAACCCAACGACAAAAGGACGGACCGAAACCAAACTTACTTAATACTCTCATGAGGAAATCGTGATCTACTCTATCAAAAGCCTTCATTTGATCAAGCGTGACTAAAATTCCGGTCTCGTCCGTTTTGTTGATCATATCTAAGGTGTCGCGAATCAAATGTAAGTTAGAGAAGATCGATCTATTAATTACACTACAAGTTTGATCAGAGTGAACGATTGAAGGGATAACTTGTTTTAGACGGTCGGTAATTATTTTTGAAGCTAATTTATAATCACAATTAAGAAGCGATATGGGCCGCCAATTCTTAGCCAAGCGTTTATCATCCTTCTTATAAATAAGGCGCAAGAGGGCTTCGCGCTGGCTCGCACAAAGCGAGCCAACCCGAAAACAGTCATTCAAAACAGCAAGCAGAGGGTCACACAACAAATCCCAGAAAGCCGAGTAAAATTCAACAGGAAGGCCATCAGAACCAGGCGATTTACCGGTCTGAAGGCCTTTCAAAGCGGCAGAAAGCTCATCCTTTGTGAATAATCCCTCGCATTGTTTGCGTTCAAAATCAGACAAAGAAAGGTCAAGATCATCTATAATTTGGGTCTGAATTTGCATATTAAGGGAATCCTTGGAGAATAACGCTTTGTAAAAGTCAACCAAAATAAGTTCAATGTCATTGTGCGAGACTTTTTCCTCGCCAGATTCATTAAAAAGAGACTCAAAAATATTCTTTTCCGCGCGTTTACGCTCCAGGCGGAAAAAGAAACGAGTGGGCTTCTCGCCCTCCTCGATCCACCGCGCTCGCGAGCGGACCTTAGCGCCCTCACACTCGTTATTAATGACTGCCTCCAAGGCGCTTTCAAGTTTGTTTACATTAGAAATCTGGCCGCGATCGCCAGCAAAAACAGCCGATTTAGCTCTGAGTAAGCGTTTGGTTAGAGAATTGCGTTCGCAAAGAAGTTGTCTGCGTTTTCGAGAAGAGAAATCTATACAAGTACGACGAATCTGAATTTTCAAGTTATCCCACCAACCTTCAAGCGAGTCGAACAGAGGAATCTTTTCTTTCTCAGAAGTGATCAACAAAGTCATAGTATCAATAAAATCGTTATCGGAGAGAAGAGAGCAATTAAATTTCCAAACACCGCTTCCGTGCAAAGAAACATTAACCGGGGAAATAAATAAGTCGACAAAATCGTGATCAGAAAGAGAACAAGGAAAAAACTTATTTTCGCGAACTAACTGCAAAAGAGAGGAAGAAATATAGAAGCGATCGAGGCAAGAAGCCTGGGAAAAATCTTTATTAGACCAGGTGAAAGAAATCGCTTTCGGATTCTGTTTACGAAAGGCATCAACAAGGCAGAAATCGGACTTAAGGGCTGACAAGCAACGCTTGTCCGCGCTAAAGTCCGATTTAATATGGAAGCGATCAAGGTCGGAATCAATACAATTAAAATCTTCACCTAAAATTAAATCGCCGGGTGACAGGAAAAAGGTATGTAGACGGTTGAAAAATAACTTACGATCGGACACGGTGTTTGGAGCGTAAACACAAATAATATTAAGTTTAAAAGAGTTCAGATCGACAAGAAGGCTTAGAATTCTACCATCAGTGTCGTGGAGATAGGGAATAATCTTACCAGAAAATTTAGGATAAACAAGAATCGCTACGCCGGCAGATTTGCCGATCCCAAAGGACCAAAAACATTGGCCTCTAAAGCATTTCACAGCTAAATCAGCTTGAGATTTACAGGAAATGTGCATCTCAAATTTTCGTTTAACTCATGAAGAAAGAGATCGCGTTTACGACTAATGCCTAGTCCACGAACGTTAATGGTAAGAATTGTAAGTGGGTTATATGCGAAGGTAGTTAATTAAAATAAATTAATAGGACTTACTCTTATGCTTCCGATGGGACACCTTTGTCCAACCTTTGCTTTCTGAGCCAGACTCGCTCCCACTATGATCATAGTCGCGATGAGAAGAACGATTGCGCGAAGGGCGAAAGCGATCGCGATCGCTCCTCTCACCTCTTCTGTAGTCGTCATCATCTCTATGTCTCCTGTCATAATGCTTGTGGTGCTTCCTTTTTTCTCTCTCCCTCCGATCTTCGCGGTCTTTCTCTTCTCTCTCCTTCTCCTTTCGCTCTCTTCGTTTCTTCTCCTTACGATCTTTCTCCTTTCTGTCTTTCTCCTCCTTCTCCTTTCTCTCTCTCTCCTTCTCCCTCTGCGCGTTCCTCGCGTCTCACGCGCTCGTCTTCTTCTTGCTTGGCCCGGCTGATATCCTCTTCGGCTTTTCTGGCAGCGTCCACGAGTTTTCCGGTCTTAGCGGCCCCAGAATATGACTTCCCCTTCTCAGTAGGCTTGGCAGCGGATACATTGGAACTGTAATAAATGAAAGGACAACTTGAGGTCTCATGACCATCGGAAAGGCATACACGGCAAACCGCGGGCATATCGCACTGTTCGGCGCGGTGGCCGGGCCGTCCGCAATAAAAGCAACATTTAGACTTCCAAGCGGCCGCAAGATGATCTTCTGAGCCGCATTTGCGGCAGGTCTTGGGCTGAGAAGGATACCAAAACCGCACAAACTCGCCGGCAATGAAGGTTTGGGCGGCAATGAAGGTTTTTTCTCGAGGAACGCATTCTTCACGTGAACACTCGAAAAAGTTATTAGCATTTCGCCTGTAGGTCGGCGCTGTAAACAACGGATAGCTGAAGATGCAAATCCCGGGTTTTTAAGCGAATCGAATACAGCGGAGGAGTCTTCAAAAACGTCGGACTGGAAATATGCTGTACAGGGCCGCTCCGGCGTAACGTTGTCAGGGTGAAAGTTCCCGCGTTCGAAGCTTGATAACAAAAGCTCGTTGCGGTAATTACTCGAAACCAGTGTGTCGTCCTCGTTAACACGTGGCGCCTCAGCCGAAGCAGCNCTCGAGGAACGCATTCTTCACGTGAACACTCGAAAAAGTTATTAGCATTTCGCCTGTAGGTCGGCGCTGTAAACAACGGATAGCTGAAGATGCAAATCCCGGGTTTTTAAGCGAATCGAATACAGCGGAGGAGTCTTCAAAAACGTCGGACTGGAAATATGCTGTACAGGGCCGCTCCGGCGTAACGTTGTCAGGGTGAAAGTTCCCGCGTTCGAAGCTTGATAACAAAAGCTCGTTGCGGTAATTACTCGAAACCAGTGTGTCGTCCTCGTTAACACGTGGCGCCTCAGCCGAAGCAGCTACAGCGGCATAAGTAGTGTTTGAGTTCTCACAAGCAGATAAATTCGACTCTAAATTCGACTCTAAGTTCTCACTCGCGGGTATAGAAGCAGATAAACCTTGTTGCTCTTCTAGGGAAGGAACGTCATCGTCCACATCGGTCAACAAAAACGTGTCTCCAGGGAGGAGAACAGGGGCTGGGATTCTACATCCATCTCAGAAGCGGGGTTACCATGATCATCAGCGGTGACTTCATTATGCATATCATCATCATCATCATCGTCACCAGGCTCGTCATCGTCATCAGAACTAGAGCTGCTATCATCAGCCTCAGGATTAGTAGGGAGGGTCTCTACGCTCTCCAAGTCGTCATCATCATCATCACTAAAGAGATGTCGCAGGACTAGCAGCCCCTTAGAGTCGAGAATCTCCGAAGCATCCGGTTCGCCAGTAACCTCGTCCACTGCACCAGAAGAATCCTCAGCAGGAGGGAGGCCAGTAGAGGGGGAGGAACATCAGTAGGGGGGACATCAGAAGTAGCTGGCAACTGGACAACCAAGCTAGATTGTTCTGGTTCTCGTTGAGACTCGTCATGAGCTGGCTCCGGCTGATTCTCGTTTTGGAGGGGTGCAGACTGAGTGGGAGATCCGGGGGGGGGGAAGGCTGGCGATGCCACGAATAGGGGCAATATCTAGCCCGATGTGAGTGATGTTTACATATACAGTACAATTCCATGCTGGGACACAACTCGGCTTTGTGCCCCAGTTCCTCACAGTTGAAACAAAAAGTGTTCGGGCAATCGTTAGCGAAATGACCCAAGCGGTTGCACTTCCGGCATGTGTGTTCCTGACCATCATGAGACAGCCGTACAAAAAACTTGCCAAAACGCAAATATGAAGGGATGGCAGCATGTCGGCGTACCCTATAATGACGATTAACATTGAAAACAGATTTATTAGTAGGATATCGTCCCCGTCGGTAATGAATAACCCCACAAAATGGTTTCTAGGCGTCGTATTAGAGCATTGTCCGAGAGTTCATGTGGAGCGTCGTAAATGTTGAGGTATGTTAATTGCCGGTCTTCATCATTGATTGCGAAACGGCGATCACGAATTTGCATAACGTTCTTTTCTAGGAACGAATTCTTCATGCGGGCATTTCCGAAGGTAATTAACATATCTCCTGTAGGCTTGCGTTGCAAACAGCGGATCGCTTCGGTCGGGAAACCTTGTGTTCGGAGCGCTTGAAAGACAGCATTAGAGTAGCCAAAAACTCCGGAACTGAAATAAGCAGTACACGGCCTGTCAGGGGTAACATTCTCCGGATGAAAGTTAGTACGTTCAAAGGAAGATAAATACAATTTGTCGCGGTATGTCGCTGAGCGAGGCAGCATGTTCTCCTCAACAGGAACACGTGGTGTAGTAACAGCGGAATAGGAAGGAGGATTCGCGGTCGTA